CCCTTTCACAGTCATCTCATTTTGTCATCTTTCTTAAAGAGAGAGAAAAAGAAGGAGACACCTGTGTGGAGGGAACAGGGACAAAGAGGAGAGGAGAGGAGACGTCCAGGGAGATGGATTTTTATCCATCTCTCTCTCGTTTTTTATAACTTCCACCCTTTCTCCTCTCTGACTCCCTCTCACATTAGTCTGTGGGCCTCGTCAAAGGTGAGTTGATCTGAGGAGCCTTTGCATCTTTCCTAAAGAACATAATTCTGTTCTCCCTTCTATCCCATCACCTCAGGCCCATACATGTTAGTCATGGTTTTGCAGAGGAACTCACTATGACATCAGTATGTTTTTTGAATGCGTTTCTTGTCTGTGTCATCCTTACTTACACCAAACTTTCCTGTCAGATGTCTGGGTCTAGGGTGACACACTGTTGCGCTGTACAGCAAGTTAATTTGCGCAAGTTCCCTGTACTCCAGTTTCCACAGAATTTTATGAATTGGCTATTTGTGTAGCAACAGTTTCCTGTGTGTTGGGCGTGTTTTCCTTTCTTTAAGGAAGCTTGTAGTTTTTATACTTTCATTGATTGTTAGATTGTGTCTTTATGTTCTGCTGTTGTCTAACTGGAAAGTGCTTTATGCAAACATGACATTTAGGACATCTTAGAAATCTGTGGGGGGAGGAGTTAAAAAGAAATCAGTGGTTTTGAAAATTAAATCTGTGCAATGTTTTAATGTTAAAGATGGCAAATCGATTCATTTCTTATCTAGTTTCAGAGCATTTCAGTGGGAAATTTCCCTTATTTATTCCGTGTTGACCTAAAACTACACACACACACACACACACACACACACACACACACACACACACACACACACACACACACACACACACACACACACACACACAAAACATTGGAATTGACCTATTATATTGCATATACAGCAAATGTTATTTTATTTCTTTCTTTCGGTAGAATTTTAGCACTCTTCATGTTGCTAAAAATCTCATGTTCTCACACAAACGGATACCTTAACTCAGTGGCCTCTGTGGCAGATATAATCCCAGAGTGCAGAAAAGATTACAAATGACCCAAACCTTGCTGTGAACACTGATCATTTTATTTTTATCCATGGTGTCAGTTCAAACACCACAATGAACAACAAGCCTTATGATTTTCTAAATTATCTCACAAGCTCATATATAACTGTTTTTGTTCAATCAGGGAAGGAGTTGCATACAGTATAAATCTGTATGATCTGAATTAGTTATGAAACCTATTAGAAATATTTGCACACCATATCGCCATTTCCTCTACAATCCCACAAGAAGTTCACTTGAATGGACATTCTGTGTACTTTGAGATTTTGTGGTGTTTTTCGGACAATCCAGAAAAAATGTGAAGAAATCATGTTAAATGTATAGGTCTTAATGTGCGAATAGTGTTGGATGATGCTAATTATTTTGTTTATTTTTCTAGCATTTTATGGCCAATGTGTGTCTGTGCAAGATGCTGCGAGCTTGTAAATTAGCAAGCACCACAGAAATTGTCAGGATATTAATGAGTTACTGCTTCCAAGCTGATAACTGATATGTTAGTCAGCAGTAACAGGCGGCGCACTCATGCATATTGTCAGGGCCAGAAGAGTCAGTGTGTAGGAGGCTGAAGCCAACTATTCATCCTTCTGAGATACTCATCATCTGGCTGGATTTATTTGCTAAAGAGCTCCATTGTTTGACCCCATTCAAGCAACACCATTGTACTCAGTGATCGCTCTACCCTTTGCAATGCTGGAGTAACAACGGCATGTGTGTGGTGTGTGTGCTTGTCTGTGTTTATTATTATATGGATGTGTGAGTGTCTGTGTGTGTGGCATTACATCCCAGCAGTGTGAGTTTGCATTTCCCGAAGCGGGGGGGGTTTCTCTGCTGTTGACTACAATGTACCCGGTCATTGAAATGCAGCAGGGCAAATGCAGCCCAGACGTGACCCCATTTTCTGGCACTGCTGCCTGTAAAGTAGGTTATGGTTAGAGGCTGCTGCTGCTGAGAGAAAAGAAAAGTTGAAATATCTGTGAATGCTTGCATTTGAGACTTGTCATAACCGCATGCACCAGTTTTGCTGTGAATAATGTACAGTAGCTCTGGTTTTAGTAATGTGTTGTGGGTAAATGATGACACAGTCACCAGAGCATGTTATGATAATAACAATGAACAGCTTTGGAGTGGGATGTGTCTGCATAAGACTGGGTTTTGCTGTGTGTGAGGGTGTTTTCTGTTTATTTGCCAGTGATTCTCCTTTCCTGCATCATGTTTGTTGGATCAGAGCACTAAGTCAAAATGTCACTTCTGTCTGCTGTGAGCCAACAGATTGGATAGTGAGTATTAATAATAACTGTCTAATTAACTATTATCCAAGTCTTTTAATTTGACACAGCTCTGTTTGTTTATTTTGAAAGTTGTAACTGTTAAGTTTAGCTTTTTTTTCTACAAGTAGATCATGTGGATCACAAAATTATTATTCACAAACTATGCAGATCCTTGCTAAGCTGCATGATTACAAGACATTTTTTGGGGTAATAATACTGTATATGGCAACAATTTGTGGGACTAATTTTGTTGCACTGAATCACACTGCATCTGTTTGGTTAGGTTGCTTTGTTATAATTTCCTGTTGCTACTGGGGAAAGTTGCTCCTTCACTTTGATCTGGAAGTTTGTAGGTGTAGGATTGCTTTAATTGCTTCTGAACTCTAAAACCTTAAAGTTCTTCCCCCATTAATTTTAAGATCCTGTTTTCTGCCACTTCTCGTTTTGGATTAGTGAAACCACTGAACACTGTTTTTCCATTCTGTCAGCTGGGTGTTTTCTTGTCCCTCCCGGTCCATACTCTCTTTAACAGTGCAAAAGACCTGCCCTGTACTGTATGTGTGCTTGTGTGTATAATAATAATGTATAATAATATTTTAATTTTCAGGTCTTGTCTTCTTGTTCTGTCTGACCAACTGTCCAGAACCCAAAAATATTCACTTTACAAGTATGTAAAACAGAGAAAATTGATGAATCTGATACTTAAGAGCTTGAAACCAGCATATTTCTGGTCTTTTGCAGGATAAATTAATGAGGATTTAGTGAGCATTAAAACAGTTGACCATTTTCAGTTTTTGGATGATTCACCTGATTAATTCTCTCATGTCAAGAGGCTCTTGAACCACTTCTTGGATCAGGAGTTATGAATCAGACTATGTTGCTTAAATGTTTATGTACAGTACAACCTGTGTGATATTTTTTCTTTGTGTCCATGTTGAACCTATTGTCAGCATTTTAATCAACTAGTCAATGTGTTTGACGTGCATTTAGGCATGATGCATAGTTGCATGTGCATCCTCACTTTTGTGAACCCATAAGCACCAGTTTATGGTTTTTGCATGCTGCTGGACAGATAAAGACAAAGATAAAACACAGACTGTGTGTGGTTTTATACCTGGCACGCTTGCAGTGTGGACAGTACACATAGACCTAAATTTTGGGTTTCACAAATGGTGTTGTGCCCAAGCAGACATGGAAGCCATGGTAGGGCCTTAACACTATTTCCTGCATAGGTCTGCAGAGATATTTAACTTCCTGAAACATCTACTTCCAGCTTAAAACAGCCTAAGCCTGACCATTTATATGAATGCATCTATTTATATGCATTATATACACATACAAACACTGCTACTTCATGTAACTACTTCAAGCAACGGTGTGTCTTGGAACATTGATTTGCAACCTGAGCTAATCTTCCATTGGATCACAAGACAGGTTAGGTAACATAGGAAAGCAAGAAGTATATTTTTAAAATAATATTACAAAAGAGAGATTTTTAAAAGGGACAGGTCATGTTTCATATAGACTAATTTGCATGAGAGGTTTTGGGTGTGGTGCCCTTCTTTCAAAGTGGTATTGCTTCCAGTTTTAGCCATTGTCATAGTTTTGGTTCCTGATACAGACTGGCAGACAGCGTGCAAACACATCAAAAATCTAACCGCAGCATTTTTCACATCATCCTCTTCAGTGACCTCAGACAAATAATAAAACCACCCATCTTGTAAATGTTCAACATTACTGTTAACCCAGCAAACTGCACAAGACAACTTTCAGACCAGAGTAAATGTTCTTTACACATGCTCAGAACCACAACCAACCCCCAGATATATGTAATGTGAATTGTCTGGACTAGCCTCAGTGAAAATGAGTTTGCCTCCAGGTTAATTCCCAGGAGCTTTGGCCTTGAAGGGAGCCAGTGGCAGGGGAGAGAAAGTCTGAAAGAAAAGTGATAATGAATTGACTTGAGGCCTAGTTTCTATTTTAGTTGGGAATTGGTTTGTCTAAATGGAGTGTGAGTCAGAGAAGCTGAACAGTGAAGACAGATGGAGGGATGCTGTGAGAAGGAGGATGAAAATTTAGTGTTGGCTTTTTTTATCCAAGAATAAATTAAAGGTCAAAAATGAGGTTTTTCATCTTAAGAACCTACAGAAACATGACAAGATGTGTAACGTTCATCCCGAGTTGTGTGTTTGTTTCCGCTGCCATCCAAACCCTTTGGAGGTGTGTACCAGGAGCACCCATCAGGAGGTAGTACTAAAATCAAGATGGGTGTAATCTAAAGCAAATGTCTCTAATGTAAAACCTATGATTGCATGACAGTGTCTGACTCTGTCTTCTTCAGAGCAGGTCAGCATGTTTATTCACTGCAGCACGGAGACTTGCAGCAACAGCAGACGACACCAGGCGTTATCAGCAACACCGAGGCCCGCTCAGTGCAGAGGGGAAAAAATAGTACGAGCAATCAGTGTGGTCCCATGATTCCTAGTGAGTTGTGAAAGAAGGATAAGTAGAGCCAGCCTCACATCTCACATGCCACGCCACACGCAAACATTATTCACACCCTTTTTGCATGTCCCTCCTGGCTCAAAATACCAAATCTAATTATTCTTGTTAATCACCAGGCATTTGAGCTGAATCATCGCTACCTGCTGTCCAATTGGACACACACACACACTGACCCTCCCCGTACTGCATGCACACTCTTATTATTACAAGTGCTCTCCAAACAGTACACTCTCACTTCAGCTTTGCTCAGGATGTTACAAAATCAGCATTGGTGCTGAAACTTAGTGAAGATTGCTGGGAGTGTCTCTCACTCACCCACACACTCGCACCTCACCTGGCACTTGCACTGTCACACACATTCCTCATGTAAGGGGCTGAAGCTCAGCCCAGTCCCATTCCTGTCCTACTTGAGCAAAGAGCCTGCTGGTGATCGGACTGTCGCCTGAAGCAAAGAGGCCAAGCCAGCGTGGATTTTGATTTTACAGTACAGTCACTCCCTCCGAAGCTCTGAGAGAGAGAAGGGAGAGGGGAGTAGAAGAGGAAGAGGAATAGCGATGGCTATGACCAACATTGCAGAGGATGACCTGGATGAGATGATGCGTGAAGAAGCAGAGGACGTCTTCTATGAGAACGGTAGGCTTGCCAAGGGTCAGTTGTGTGAAGTCAGGCATGGGTTTACAGGTGGGCTGCAGGGCCGAGACAGCTGCTCAAGGTTTACAGCATGGTCGGACTGGTTGGTTTGTGACTTGTGGTTGTGATCAGGGTTAAGAAGAGGGTAAAGGTGATGGCTGACTGGTGGCCCAGAGGGATCTCTTCAGCTGTGGGTGGGATTCTTTGCGGCATGGTTGAGTGGACTCTGATATACACACCAAAAGCTGATTTGTGTTACGGTAGAGGAAGACAGAAATGTGTTCCCCCACTAGTTAAAGTCACTATGCAGCAATCATTACATGTTTGTAAAGATCGGTCTCTGTAAAGAATCTTTCACTAAACGTCAGTTTGCCTTCAGCTGGAGCTCTGTGCAGAGTTTGTTTATTGAATTTTCAACTTTTAGAAAGCAGAGAGGAGCCGTGGCCTCTGTAGCGTGGGCGTTCTTGTATAACGGCAGATGTTTTTAACCAAGCATTATGCACCACAAGTAAATATTCTGAACGTGTATTTTGTGTGTGTGTTTGTTATTTTAAAACCAGCTGTAATCAAAACTTGGATTCATTTGGCGCCTGAAAGAGCGATGAGCAGTAGAATCACAACAGAGTCTGACTAATAATTTTTAAGAGGGAGAAAGGCAGTCAGGCTGTGTAATAACTGGATATTGTTTAATTTGTTGCCTTTTAAATATGTTCTCTAATAGTACATGGATAACATATTTTTTGTTCTTATTAGCGCTAAGGATTAATGATGAGACATAGATTGTGTGCTTTGTGCTGACTATTCAAGCGTTTTATTCTTATTGCTGATGAATGCAAATGCATTACCACTGGTCTCTTTTTGTTCTAAATCAATAGTTCTATCATCAGTGGTGGATTTGCACATCTTTCAGCTTTTCTGCCTCCAAAATTTCAATTTGAAGTTGAATAAAGTCAGATTTCGAATCAGTTTTATGTGATGGTTCCAAACCTTTGGTTCGGGTCCCCACAGGGCTCACGAGATAACATTAAGTTTTGATCTGATGCCAGATGAAAAGTCAGAGGATCCCCAAAGTTACAGTTCATCCTGAGGGACACATGAATTGTTCGTAGCAAAATTTATGACAATGACAAATGAATGGGCAATCACATAAAAATAAAGGAAGGTCAGAAAAGATATATAGCAACAAGTATAGCTTCTCTTTCCTTTTTCTGCTTCTCCTCCTCAGTCACAAAGGCAGTGATCCTAGTTCAGGTTGTTTGAATTATCAACAAGCTTCTCTCAGCTTTTAGTCAGTAGGAATGGTGTATCTTTGCTTCATGCCGGCTTCAGTTGGTGTTCTCTTCTTTTTTTTTTTTTTTTTTTGTCAAAGCAGTTGCTATGGGGAAACATGGAAATCGACTTACAGTTGGATCATTGCCTTTTTCAAGCCATGAAATCTGGGGAGCATGCTGACTGAATTTTACCCTCTTTGCTTAGGAATGTAGCTCCTGCACAAACATTTCCCCACAGTTATCTACATATACTGGGGAAAAAGCAGCAGAATACAAAAACCATTCTCTCACTCACCTTTAGCGGCATCTCACTGGTGTTGTTAGTTTTATTTTGCAAAGATTTTGACTTGCACTCACAGTGAGGTCTGTGGAGTATGTGTTTCAAGCTTAAAAATAGTTGTTACTGAAAATAAAACAAACAAAAACATGTGACTCAGAGGGTTTGATGCTCAGTGCTGATGCTGTAATAACCAGACTCATCTCACCCCTGATTATCATGCACAAGTCCCTGCAGTATCACCTCTGCATGAACCCACACATTAACACAAATGCAACTCACTTTCTTCCCTTGTTATCACACTGTCTTATCACACAACCTCCTTTAATGAAAGGAGAAAAACCAAATGATAAAAAAGGAAGATAGTAGAATTGCACAGCAGTTTCACTGAGACCTAAATAAACACATGGCCTCTTTAACTCTTTCCTGGTCTACTCACGTTTGACAGTGAAGCAGCAAACAGTCTGCGTAAGCAAAGTATAGGTGAGTAGTGTGCTGTGAAAGAGAGTAAAGAGTAAGAGAGAATGACAGTAAAAATAAAATATAGCTCGATGGTGTCTTGGTCAAAATGAAGAGTCGGTATTCGGTGTCTAAATAAACCAGTAGTTGACTAAGTGTGTCAGGTCAAAAAAGCATGAAGAGCTGCTTTCACTGACAAGTGAGGAACTCCAGGAAATGCTTCTGTCCACCTGAGACATCACAGGACTGGGCTATCAGGAGGCCTGATTTATATTTACCTTCACAAACTTTGTAGAGCCATTTAGATGTGCTTTAGTCATTTAGATGTGTGCTGGCGTGTTGCAGTTACTGTAAGCTGGACTAGACCCCTGTTATCTGCTGTGGTTCATTGGGCTGATTTTGGAAAAGTTTATCAGCTCTCATGCAGGAATGTTTCTTATTGTTTTTGTTCCTTGTGGAATAGGATGCACTTACACTCTTCCTCTGACTAGCAGTTACATGACAAAACCACTAATTACCGGGCTCGGCAGATATAGTTTCTTTTTTATTCTGATGCTTTTGAAAACGTCCTCTGGCACAATGACGTGCCCTTCAACAGATTTTAAGAGAGTTTAAACTACTAAGATGGCTTTTAGATCTATAGATGAACAAATCCTATGGGGGATGGGTTTGTGTAATAGTGTGAGGTGACACTACACCTGAACGTGGTTATAGCTTTGATGGATTGTTTTCACCTCACCGCTCTTTAAACCTTCACACCACACTTTGCCAAAGGACTTTTCTTTAATGTTCACAGCCAAACAACACCTAAGATTTAAGGAGTGAATAAATATACCAGAGTATGTAAGTGCATAACACAATCTGGAGGCTAGTTTTAAAGATTTAAGAGTCTTATCCACAATAGAGAGCCTTTTGGTTGTACTGTAGTAGTAGAGGGGCAGCATTCCTCTTGAAATCTAGAGAATATGCAGAATCAGCATCCAGGCTAAAATGAGTTTTGTCATCCTGGCTAGCGGCTATATAACCATACATTCGTTTATTAACATTTAGAGACTTTAATAAAATTTTTAAGCAGTATCAACTGAATGCATCTGTAGGATTATGTGTTATGTTGTATTATAATGAGGGATAATTCATTAAGTGTCTACTCCAACAGCTTCACTAGTTTCTTTTTTTTTCAATTGCATGACTAATCCGATCTAGAATTAATGTTAACCAGCTATTTAACTGAGAAATATCAAATAAAAACTGTGGGAAGACATATTTGTGTTGCTGTTTCTGTGTGCCACCTAGTTTATTTAATTTACATTAGGGGGTGACTTTCCTGTTCTGCTGACACTGCATGAACGCAGCATCACACCTAGGGAATCACGTTTATTTTTACGAAGTCATAGGGACGTTATTATCTAATCACAACTTCAAATCAGCTTTGGGGAGATCCTGTTGTGTTTTATTCCTGATCACATGAAGACTATATCATTTCTGCAGTATAAGCCAGAGGGTGAAACAGAACACAGGCACAATACACACACTCACACCAGGCATCAGCTCAAGGAGAAGGCTGCAATACTAGAAGTCAGGTCAGGTCACAAATCCATTTCTTTCTCAGTCTCTTGTCTGTACTTGCCTTGTGTGACAGCCCCCAGGAAACAGAATCTCCCTCTGAGCCGACACAGTGTCCACCAAGGCTCAGGATCAGAGAGCAGAGTCCTGCTCCAGTGACTGGAAATCTGGGAGGGAGACAGTTTATCTGTATAGGGACCATCTGATAGCTGAGTGGTATGGCACGAGGAAAGATTACTAACATGGTTTTACTGTGCAAAGATTCAAAAGGTAGTAGTGCATTCCTGACTTTACCCTTGCAGTTTAATAATGAAGTAAACTGGAAAGATATGAAACGAAATTGGACAAAAATCAAATTACAAAATGTTATTCCAATAACATTAAACAAAACAATGAAATGATGCTGTTTAATTTAGCAAAAGTGGGTCCCCTCCCCCATTTTAAATGAATTGACATTTCCTTTGATTAGGTTTAAGACATTTTCAAATTTTAAATACGGCAACTTGAATCAGGCAAATCATTTGAGCTAATAGTTAATAAGAACCTATGGATGTCATTTACAGACCTAGTGATGGATTTATGAATAGCTGGTAAATCATTTGAGCTAATAGTTAATAAAAACCTATGGATGTAATTTACAGACCTAGTGATGGATTTATGAATATCTGGTACAATCAAGTTCAGATGAGACTCAATTAACAAAAATAGTCCATCCCCAGTTTTTACCTTATGGAAACAACGATGACAACGTCTTAAATATCCAGAGGGTCATTTTACTAAACTGTGAGGCCTGTCCATGTTAAAATCCACCAAAACTAAAATATTTTGGGGAAAATGGAGTAACAAGCATTTCCTTGTATGAGCTGATAATGTGATAAAGTATTGTTTATTGGGTTTTTGGCCACCAACTGTCCTGCTCAGACACACTGGAAAAATCTGTTGTTTTTTACTCTCCTTAATAATATCTCAAAAATCAAATAGATTTAGTATATAATTTAGTCATATCCAGGGATATACTCCATGTGAAAACTCAGTGTATTTCTCTAGCAGGGACCACATCATTAGGGATGATATGATATTGAAATGACAAAGGTACTTATGAGACTTATATGGAGTAGTGGCTAGGTGATTGTGGTCTGAGTGAGGCCTCAGAGGCCCATTCTGCTCCCAGACTTGGCAGACCCCCTGCAGGGAGGGTTGCAGAATGATCTAAAACTGTCTTGATCGCCTTACCTTATAATAACCATCCCCTTTTTAAACACATACAGTAAGTATTGTCTTACAGCCTGAACAGTCACACACTGACAGTCTGTCTGGCCACAGGTGTCGTCTCTGTCCACAACGATGCAACACACAGACTAATATGACAGTGCTGTCCTGTGTTTGGAAAAACTCTGACCTGAGGGTACCTAGTGTAGCTGGCACATTACTGC